GGGTTTTTGTTTAAATTTTATTATTGAAGTATAGTTGACATACAAGAGTAATTTCAAGTACACAACATAGTGACTGGACAAGTCTGTAGATCCACAGTGCTCACCATAAGGGGTCAGCACCTGTCCCCAAACAATGTTAGTACAATATTACTGAGTATACAGGACTTATTTTATAAATGAAAGTTTGTACCTCTTAATCCCCTTCACCTACATTGCCCATCCCTCTACCCTTCTCCCTCTGGCAACAGTATTTGAGTCTGTTTCTGGTTTTGTTTTTTAGATTTCACATTTAAGTGAAATCATATGGTATCTTTCTGTCTGACTTATTTCATTTGGCATAATGCCCTTCAGGTCTATCCATGTTGTTGCAAATGGCAAGATTTCATTCTTTTTATGGCTGAGTATTTTAAAGATTTTATTTATTTGACAGACAGAGATCACAAGCAGGCAGAAAGGCAGGCAGAGAGAGAGGAGGAAGCAGGCTCCCTGCTGAGCAAAGAGCCCAATGTGGGACTCCATCCCAGGACCCTGAGATCATGACCCGAGCCAAAGGCAGAGGCTTTAACCCACTGAGCCACCCAGGTGCCCTGGCTGAGTATTTTATATATGTGTGTGTATAATTGTAAAAATGCTGCAATGAACAGAGGAGGGCATTTACCTCTTTTAATAAGTTAGGAACAGAAATCTTTATGTGCAGAGCTTATCAGGCTTTCTAACCCAGAGACTCACGCTAACTGTGATGTGTATACCAAAATGCCCATTCATAATTACAGTGAGCAGCAGCCCTTCCGACATCCACTGTTAGGAGGCCCTCTTGCTGGTATGAGGGCAACAGGGAGTCTAAGTGGATAATCAGAGGGAGGTTGTTTGGAGAGTAAGGAATGAGAGCAAATGGAGTTGGATAATCTTAGAAGAATCCATTATCTAGGCTGTGAAGTAAACTGCTGATCCACTTCACAGAGTTACACGATTAATGACCCAAATCCTTTTATGAAATTTGGTCTCTCTTCCTTGAAGAGCATTATCTTAGACTGTCAAATTCTCTTTAGGGTCTTTTATAGGCTTTTTGCAGCTTTCTTCTTTAATAGTGAGCTGAGTACTATATTCTCTCTCAGTTATTGGAGTCTACATCCTAGATTCCATGCCTGGACTTGTTTGTTCCCCCAAGTTCTGTCACTTATCCACTGGGTTGATTCCTAGGTATTTCTTATTGATCATGTGAAGATTAAATGAATTAGTCATCAACAACTAGTTAATATTAATTGGATAATAAAGTTTCTCTATTTATATGCTTAATATTATAAAACACCACGCATGCCCTGATGTCTTATACCTACTAAGAACCTAAATGCTTGATGTGGCTCAAGGGGGTACACAGATAAGCATGGACAGGGAAGGAGAAACTGACATTCAGAATCTGTCCAGCCCAAGATTATTGCCCATAGCAAGACCTGATAAAGATTATTTGACAGCACAAGCAGCGGGAGCAGGAGATGAAGAGTAGGTTCTCCGCAGAGCAGGGAGCCTGATGTGGGGGCTTGATCTCAGGACCCTGGGATCATGACCTGAGCTGAAGGCAGAGCCTTCACTGACTGAACCACCCAGGTGCCTCTGTACTGAGATCTTCTTTTTCTTTAAGATTTTATTTATTTATTTGACAGAGAGAGAGAGAGATCACAAGTAAGCAGAGAGGCAGGCAGAGGGGGAGGGGGAAGCAGGCTCCCCGCTGAGCAGAGAGCCCGACTCGGGGCTCGATCCCAGGACCCTGAGATCATGACCTGAGCAGAACGAAGGCAGAGGCTTAACCCACTGAGCCACACAGGTGCCCCTGTACTGAGATCTTATAAAGTACATATCCCTTATAGTTTTTTATCATTTCAAAGGATTTTTATTGATGTTTTATTTGGTCATACTTTTTTCTCTTGGATCCCAGTGACTTTGGACTGTTATCATAGTATTCTCCTACCTTCAATATTTTCTCTTTCAGTTTTCCAGATCTCTGGGCATTTTCAGGATTATATATATATATATATATATATATATATATTTTTTTTAAAGATTTTATTTGTTTATTTGACAGAGAGAGAGATCACAAGTAGACAGAGAGGCAGGCAGAGAGAGAGAGAGAGGGAAGCAGGCTCCCTGCTGAGCAGAGAGCCCGATGCGGGACTCGATCCCAGGACCCTGAGATCATGACCTGAGCTGAAGGCAGCGGCTTAACCCACTGAGCCACCCAGGCGCCCTCAGGATTATATTTTAAAATGCAATAACTGGGGTGCCAGGGTGGCTCAGTTGGTTAAGCAGGTCCCTTTGGCTCAGGTCATGACCCCAGGGTTCTGGGATCAAGTCCTGCCTTGGGCTCCTTGCTCAGCAGGAAGGCTGCTTCTCCCTCTAACTGCCATCCCCCTTGCTTGTGTGCACTCTGACAAATAAAATCTTTTTTTAATTTTTAAAGATTTTTACTTATTTATTTGACACAGAGAGAGAGACGGTGAGAGAGGGAATATAAACAAGAGGGAGAGAGGGGATATACACAGAGGGAGTGGGAGAAGGAAAAGCAGGTTTCCTGCTGAGCAGGGAACCTGATGCGGGGCTCGATCCCAGGACCCTGGAATCATGACCTGAGCCAAAGGCAGATACTTAGCAACTGAGCCCCCCAGGCACTCCAATAAATAAAATCTTTAAGAAAAAAAAAAAAATGCAGGGGCGCCTGGGTGGCTCAGTGGGTTAAGCCTCTGCCTTCAGCTCAGGTCATGATCTCAGGGTCCTGGGGTCCGGCTCTCTGCTCGGTGGGGAGCCTGCTTCCCCTTGCCCCCGCCTGCCACTCTGCCTACTTGAGATCTGTCAAATAAATAAATAAAAATCTTTAAAAAAAATTATCAGAAATCCTAAACCCTTAAAAAAGAAATGCAATGACCAAAAGATACATAGAGTTCTGCAGCTGTAGCTGCTTCTTAATTTTGGGAATAGAATAAGGTTTTCCGTTTTGCTTCTGGTATTCTTTTTAGTGGTGATTCATTGGATGGCCTTTTGTTACAAATCATTGCTTCTCGAATTTTTACATTCTCTTGGTTGTTTAGCTTTGAACTGAGTATGGATTCAAGAGGTAAAGCTCAAGGGGTACCTGGGTGGCACAGTTACTAGTTCAGTTGTCTGACTCTTGGCTTCAGCTCAGGTCGGGATCTCCTAGTTGTGGGATGGTGCCCTGTGCCTGGCTCCACGTACAGTGGATAGCGTGCTTGGGACTCTCCACCTCTCTGACCCTGTGTGTGCGGATTCTCTCTCTCACATTAAGTACTTTAGGGGGAAAAAAGGTATAAAGCTCAAAACTGTAGTTTAAATTCAAGATGGGTCCATGCTCCTCTTAATCCAGATTTTTTTTTAAAAGATTTTATTTCAGAGAGAGAACATGTGCGAGCGCAAGTTGGGGGAACGGTAGGAGAGGGAGAAGCAGACTTCCCACTGAGTAGGGAGCCTGATGGAGGGCTTGATCCCAGGACCCTGAGATCATGACCTGAGCCAAAGGCAGACACTTAACTACTAAGCCACGCAGGCACCTATGATCTTAATCTAGTATTAAATCTCTGCCTGTGGGGCGCCTGGGTGGCTCAGTGAGTCTTGGGCAGGACATTGCTGTCCCGCATGTGTGTATTCACCATCTCTGGCTTCTCTGTGGGCACCGCCTCCTAACTGGCTCTGCACAGGTGCTTTGGAGCGAGTGCTGCTGCCACTGCTGCCATGTCAGCTACTTGGAGGATGTGGCCAGCAGGTGGTCTACGTGTATGCCACAGTAGGTGAACCTGCGGGAGGTTCACTGCTGCTTCAGCATTCTGGTATCTTGTTGGTTTTTCCAAAAAGGTCTCACTTGTTCTATACAGGGAGGAATCAAGAGGGATTCTTTGGGAAACAAACTGTAGTCAATACACATTTTAGGGGCAGATAATTTGGGTCCTGCTTCTGCCACTTAGCAGCTATGTAATTTGGGGACTTTATTTCCTTATCTATAGAATGGCATGCTTTAGTTGCCAATAGGACTGTTGTGAGTTTAAATAATTTATGTCAAACGGGGCGCCTGGGTGGCTCAGTTAATTGGGTGTCCAACTCTTGGTTTTGGCTGAGGTCATGATCTCAGGGTTGTGAGATCTGGCCCCACGTCTGGCTCTGCGTGCTTAGTGCAGAGTCTGCTTGAGATTCTGTTTCCCTTTCTCCTCCCTTTTCTAAGGTAAGTAAGTAAATAAATAAATCATTTAAAAAATCAATTAAAAAAAAGGAAGCATTTACATCAAGCAATTAAAACACTGCCTAGGATCTTTGTAAGTAACAAATGTTTGGCATTTCTCTTTTAGGATGCTTTAGATCCTCAGACTGTCCTTTCATAAAAAAAAAAAAAAAAAAAAAAAGTTTATGGGTGCCTGGGTGGCTCAGTAGGTTGGATGACTGCCTTCAGCTTGGGTCGTGATCCCAGAGTACTGGGATTGAGTCCCACATTGGGGGGACTCAATCCCCTGTTTAGCGGGGAGTCTGCTTCTTCCTCTGACCCTCTCCCCTCTCATGCTCTCTCTCTCAAATAAATAAATCTTAAAAAAAAAAAAGTTTATAACATGAAAATTTCTATGTATTTTTTATCTAAATTAATAGTACTTAATTTACTGTAAATCCTATGGTTCCTTTTGGTATGTTACTTGTACTCTGTAACTCTGGGATATCTAAGGTCTAATTGCTACCAATTTTGTGACTGTTGGGTTAAACCAGTGGATGTTTCTGGACTTCACTTTCCAAATCCAAGCTTCTTTGTCTGTAAAATGGCATTCCTAATGGGATCTACCCCCACAGGATTGCTGAGAGAATGAGACCATCCTGCCAGTCACATGACATTTTGAATTTTACTGTGGCAAAATGAGTATGACATGTACTTTGTCACAAGTTCTGTTTTGTGGCCCAGGCCAGTAAGAGTTGGAATAACATACAATTAATCTTATCATTCCCCCATGTGTTTCCAGGCTGCCGCCTAAAAGATTTTGGAGATTTGAATTTTACTCCAGTCCCTAAAGATGATCTCTACAACAACCTGATAGTGAATCCTCGCTCAGTGGGCCTTGCCAACCAGGAACTGGCTGAGGTGGTTAGTAGAGCCGTGTCAAGTGGCTACAGCTGTGTCACTGTGGGAGGAGACCACAGGTAAGCTGGGATGCAGGGGTGGTGGGGGAGCTGGATTGTATGGTGCTTTGGGCTAATCAGTTAGCCTGTCTTGTTTCCCCACTTAAGAGGACAGTACCCTTCAGAACTTTTATGACATGATGTGCTTAATAGCATTTTAATAGCTAAGATCCTGAGCTGCTGGAGGCACCTGTGGTTTTCATTGTTAAGACACAATGGATATGATAGTATGATGACAAGCTCAGAGGCAGACTAAGCAAAGTTTTTAGACATGGTATGTTCCTATTTCATTTTGTGCTTATCTCTTGTAAAATTTTCCTAGGAAGAAAGGTCTTATGACCTTCATTTGGCCATTTGGGAGAATTAGAAGGATCCATCAGTAGTCTGAATTTGTGAGGTATTTGTGTGCGTGTGTGTGTTAAAGCATTTCTGCTAACCTGTTATAGATTTCCCACTTGCCATGTGACTATGTTCTCTATCTTCACCGTGTGGACCCGGAGGTGACTAATAGGTCCTTCTCTTAGTGAGTCAGCATGTACTTTATTGAACACTGCTTGGTGTGTTCTCAAGCAATGCTAGGGATTGTGGAAACTGTGACCTAGTAGGACTAGATGAAATAAATACACATGGGATGAAAAAATATACTGAATTCTACAGAATTTTAGAGAAGGGAGAGATCATTCTGGGCCAGAGGAGTCCTATTTGAACTAAGTAATAAAGGTTTTTGGTAGAAAGAAAAACAGCATTCAAATACTAGGATTGCTGACTGGGCACTTCATATATATTCTCATTTACCCCTCATATTGCCATGAGGCAGATGCAGTTTTACCTGATTTACTGCTAGGAACACTGAGGGACAGAGGTCAGATAACTCAACTTCTAGAACCAGGAAGTAGCAGGGTGGGATTCAAATTCAGTGTGACCTCTGAAGGCAATTAATTAACTTTTCTCTTGAGAGCCAATCCAGTAACTTCCCCTGTGGTACACAGAGAGCTTTTTTTTTTTTCCCCCTTAACAGAGGTTGAAATCTGTTACAATTTTAAGTGCAGGTAGATTTCCTCATTAGGAATAAAATTTTAGGTAGAGTAAGAGCAGTCCCCATTATTTACAGCGATCAAATTAAATCAGCTAGAGGGTGGATATTCCTCTTAGCTCAGGGTTCGCTCTCACTTGTATTGACCTTCTAATGATTGTCTGATTATCATAGTCTTTGGCTTTTCTTTTGTCTATAGCTATCTATTGCAGCCCTGTCACTATTCCTTATTCCCTGTTCAGTGCTCAAACCTAGGTCATCTGAAGATTCTAGAAGGAAGGGATGAGTATATAGACTGAACAGCTACTGAACATTTTAAAGGAAGGTGGCATCATTAGGTCACCCTGCTCCTTTTACATGGTATAAAGTATTCCCTTAGACATCAGACTAACTGACTTAAATAAGACAAATTATCGCCTTCTTCTAGAAAAAAGGAAACTGTCTAGTAAAACTAGATGATTTGTCCTAAATCACTGAAATTTCCCAGAAATTTCCCTGTCTGGAAAAAACCCGATTCTGACTTAATCCACTACTTTTCACACTAGACTGTGCTATCCTTCATGGAGGGCCCTACATGGAGCATGGAGCTTAAAATGCTGTCTCATGCCATACTAAGGAGAGCTGTAGTTAGTTCCTTAGATGCTTAAGTTGCATCTCCCATCTATGTCAAATTCTTCAGTTACTGGGAAGCTGGGCAGCTTTCCAAACAGGATTTCATCAGCTATATTCCTATAACTGGGACAGGACAGTTGGCCAATGTACACAGAGTCCAAGGACAAGGAGAGGCAAAAAAATAAACATGGATATTTGAATGCCATGCTAATATATAGAAGATAACATGCAAGTAAACATTTATTCAGTCATCTAAATGAGGTCTTTAATTGGGTTCCCGTTACTTTAAGGTCTTTATGTGATACTTCCTAAAAGGAAAAGTCAAAATTATTACTTGCTAAAAAACTATAATGCAAATTCTTATCCTTAAAAAGTGAATGATTCTTTGAAAATAATTAGATCTCCCTGGTCTTAAGAAGTATTAAGTATTTGTGAGTTCTTACATGTAGGACACATCATTTAACTGGATTCTTTTTAAAAAATACTATATGTTTACTTTATGTTATATATTTTGAATATGAACTGAATATATAAATATAATAGGCATTTATATATTATATATAAAGTTCATAGGATACTGCCTTATTATAGCAATATAGAAATTTATCTGAGTTCAGGACTGTGTAACATAATTTTCTTTCTTAAGGTAAGGCACAAATAGTAAAAAATTCCTCTGTGATTGTGATTGTGATTTAAAAAAAAACAGTTTTTGAGATAGAATAATTTAGAGGAAAGAAGGGAAAAAAAATCTTTGATCTTACAGGCATTTTGTTCATGGCTTATCGTATTAGTTATTTTGCTAATAAAAGAATAACAAGAGAATTCACAGGTAAAATGGGGGATATACATGCTAACTAATCATATACTCAGAAAATTTTTTCTAATTATACACATATACACATGTGTGGATGTATATGTATGTATTTTTTCTTTCATTTAACTGGATTTCATTCACTGAACAATACTGAGGTCCTTTTCTGGGCCAGGGCTAATGAATGAAATTTTAGGGATTTGGGGGGGGAATACTGACATCTGTCAAACTAGAAGGGTAACCAGTCAACAAGCTTTGAATCTTTGGAACCTTCTCTTTCTCCCTCATTCAAGGTTAATCTTTGGGAACTATAGGCCTGGAGACTTTTGGTCATCCAAATCCAGCCTTAGTCTGGGGCCCTGACTTTGCCCTGAGGACAAAGTGTGAGCTGCACTGACTGAGGATATTTGTTATTAGTGATGTTTGCCAAACAGAGGGCCTCAATTACTGTGTTTGTTCCTTGTAGCCTGGCAATCGGTACCATTAGTGGCCACGCCCGGCACTGCCCAGATCTTTGTGTGATCTGGGTTGATGCCCACGCTGACATCAATACACCCCTCACCACTTCATCTGGAAATCTCCATGGACAGCCAGTTTCATTTCTTCTCAGAGAACTACAGGACAAGGTCAGTGGGCTGAAATGAAAAGGCTAAATGGCTTTGCAGGGGTTATGCTGGGGCTTTGAGAACTAGTTTGGTAAGATTTCTATGAAGGATGGGCTGAGGGTGGTGGTAGAAATGTTTAGTATACCTTCATTTGTTCATCAAACATTATTATGGGCTAAGCAGTCTAGTCGATGCTAGGGATATAAAGACTACTAGGACAAGGTCCCCTGCTCTGGGGGGAGGGTGTGTGTGTGCGTGTGTGTCAGTCATAATTTGCAAGAAAGGAAAGTGGCAATGGGTAGTAACTCTAGTGACTGATACACCCTCTGCAGGAGGACTTCTTGGTTAGAGGCTCCCAGGCCTGCCTCACTCTCAGACCCATTGGTCTAGAGGAAAGTAAAAACCATGATTATCTCTAGGTAATGTTTTCCTAGGTTGGTCAGAAGACATGGGAGTCCATGTTAAGCATAGACTAGAATCTGTATATTCTTCCCCTCAGTGAGGGACCAAGTTAAACCAGAATAGTACAAAAGTTATTCATTAGGCAGAATTTGTGTTTTGGCTGTAGACAAATTAAGATGGCAACCAGATTGTGTTTCAAGAACCAATCTGTAAACAATTCAGTAATGTACAAAGGGGTGGAAAAGGGCTAATCAGCAGTATTCCTGCTATTTAGGTAAGTTAATGAGAAACTGTGGCCACCTTAGGAGAAATTTTTTTTTTATTCTGAGAAATCTGTTCTTTAGCTGCCTTCTGAATCATTTCTACTTTTGTAAGTTCTCTTTCCCAGATCAGGTGAGTCTGGTGTTGCTTTAAGCATGTCCTGTAGGTAGGAGGAGAAAGCAGATGGCATATATTGGGAAACACACGGTGATTATCCTGGTGAGACCAAGAATCCTTGATGAGTCCTGTCCATTCCTCTTTTGACAGATACCACAACTCCCAGGATTTTCCTGGATCAAACCTTGTATCTCTTCCCCAAGTATTGTGTATATTGGTCTAAGAGATGTGGACCCTCCTGAACAGTAAGTTGATACACTGGGGTTAAGCTTTGGGTCTATCCCAGCCATTTATGTTTTTGACAGGGTGTTCCTTGCCTTAATCTCTTAGAGGTCACTAACAGGACAGACACCCCCCCCACCCCAACATACTTGATTAAAAATGTTCTTTAAGGACTCCTGTGCTTGCTTTGGCAGCACATATACTAAACTAAGGACTCCTTCCTTTATCTCTCACACAGTTTTATTTTAAAGAATTATGATATCCAGTATTTTTCCATGAGAGACATAGATCGACTTGGTATTCAGAAGGTCATGGAACAGACATTTGATCTGCTAATTGGCAAGTAAGTAACTTACAATGGATGTCTACTTACAAAGGGAAAAGTCCCGAAGGAAATAGGGCAGACTCCCAGTGAGCAGCACACTTTAGCCTAGCTCTTAAGGACAGCAGCGTTTCTTTTAAAATAAAAGCAAAATATGTACACACAGAAAACACTCAAATAATTTGGAAAGGGAGATTATGAAACACAGGTCCTATTCTTCCTCTGGGGTTGAGATGGGGTTTTTTTGAAGTCACTGGCCACCTCCTCTGTGTCTCATGAATTTCTCTTTAGCTCCATTTTTAATGCCCATCTTTTGAGACGGGAAGCATTCACAACTGCCCTCTTCTTCCTAAGCTCACTGTTGATTCATCTGAAAGTTTTATATTGAGCAAATCTTGGTAATATAGAAAGATGGCAGATAAATGCCAATCAAAGGCTAGTTTTTTAAAAAATTTTTAATGAATGTATAATGTATTATTAGCCCCAGGGGTATAGGTCTGTGAATTGTCAAAGGCTAGTTTTAAGATGTTCTCAGTGCTAAGACTTTATGTTCAAGTGATTAATGTAATTGCTACCTAGTAGTATGTCATTTCTTAAGCTGTAAGAAATTTAGTTATCTACAATGTAAGTGTCAGTTGCTAGTTTCTACTTTAGGATACCTGTGCTAAACTGAAGCTAAAACTGGGAGATAAGATTGCAGTCACCAAATCAATTCCATTCAGCTGTCGTTACACGGAGAGAGTAAGAACAACTGTAACCTAGGTCAGTCTAATGTGAGTCAGACTCTGTCAGAGCCCAGTCTCATGGGGAAGTGAAGAACTGTTAATGCGAAAGGCTCTAATGCCTAGGTTAAGTCAGAAATACAAACTGGAGTCAGTCCAAGGCACAAAGAACAAATGGCAAAATTATGAGGTGGTGTGTAGGAAGCAAATATGGTAATACATAGTAACTTCCAAGAGTAGAAAACCTAGAAATGTGTATTAGCAAAATATCAGGACTAACAGCAGCAAAATCAAGGAGTTGCAACTGTAGAAAGGATCAATGTCCAAGCACACCCAAATGACTGTTCTTATCTTCCCCTCAAGAAGACAAAGGCCAATCCATCTGAGTTTTGATATTGATGCCTTTGACCCTACCCTGGCTCCAGCCACAGGAACCCCTGTTGTTGGAGGACTGACCTACCGAGAAGGCATGTACATTACTGAGGAAATACACAATACAGGTAAGAAGGGATCAACCTGCTAACTGTGTGAGTAAATACGCTGATGCCTTTTGCATTCTGGAGGGCTTCTTCTACTATTTCAAATCATTACAGATACTGTTTTTGTTTAAACTTCTTTAAAAACATCATGGTCAGGCTAATAAAGGATAGTCATTTGAAGGCATGTATGGACCTGGCTCATATCAAAATATAAGAAGTACTAAATAAAAAATTGTCTACTTAAATACTTATTAAATACAAGAATAACTTGCCAAACTTGATGTAGTTCTTTGCATCTGAACTGTCTAAAGGCAGACTCAGATTAAAAGGCAAGGCCAAGAGGCTTACCCTAACATTAAAATAAGTTAGTTCCCTTGGGAGTTGAGAATGGGCAGTTAAATCTTCTCTTAAAGATATTTCAAAGCTGGACAGTATCTCGGGTCCGTTCATAAAGGTTATGTCTTATACCAGAGCTTTGATAGGAGCTTTAATGTTTGATAGGAGGTTTTTTTTTTTTTTTTAAGATTTTATTTATTTATTTCACAGAGAGAGAGAGAGAGAGTAGCAAGCAGAGAGATGAGGAAGCAGGCAGACAGAGAGGGAAGCAGGCTCCCTGCTGAGCAGAGAGCCAGATGTGGGGCTTGATCCCAGGACCCTGAGATCATGACCCGAGCCGAAGGCAGAGGCTTAAACCACTGAGCCACCCAGGTGCCCCTGATAGGAGTTTTAATATGGGGATACCAAAGATGAATGGTGACAAAGATTAATGAGTTGGCTACACAGGTTACTGTCACCCCATTCATCCTAGTTTGCAGTTTCCATTTCTGTCAGAAAGCTTCTACTTCCATGAAGGTTACTTTAAATGACCTTTCCTTGCAAAAATTAAACAACTACCACATGATACTTCAATACCATTTCATGAAATTGGGGTCTAAACAGCAGAGAGCCCACAATGAAAGGTCTAGTGCTATGGGAAACCCTTGAGTGGTTAGGATACATAGGGAAATTGAGGAATGTTCTCTCTGGAGCCTACTGGAACCTCAGACACTAAAGGAAGGAAAAGAATGCTTAGTTTATCAGGTCTGACAGTGGTAAGATAGTCGCATTTTCAGACCCACAATCTTAGATGTTATCAGTTGTCCTTCCGTTAGTGGCCACTGAACCTGTGTGTTCAATCCTCCATTTTGGTTCCCAATGACCCTACTTAGAGCAGGGGTTAGTAATCTCTAGTAGTTAGGTGGGGTAGTGGTTACACCTCATCGCTCCCTCCCCTGCTACATTATTTCTATTCCAAAAGACTATCATAACAGTGTTAACTAGCTACATAAAGCATTTTGCTTAAATTAGAGGGTGACAATAGTCTGGAAAACATGGGTAATAGCTATTTTTAATAGCTCAGACATTCTTGATTACTTCTGGGCTATACCAAAGACTCAGGTTTAGCTGAAATGAGACACACAGATCATCAAACACCCAGATGTTCGCACAGTGGAAATGCTGCAGTGACATGCTTGGACTATGCACTCCTAATAAGACTGCACGCTAAAAAGATCTATACGCCCGTGTTTCTAGGCATGATAGCTACCATAAGTATTTGCATACCTGTATTCTCCAAACTAGTTCAGATGACTTGAAGAGGTAGATTAACTTCATTCAGAATAACCAACTAAAAAGTTAAATACCTCAGAGAAGTAGGCTTGTGTGTTAGGGGTATGAAGTAGAAGGCAGGTCTGGATAGGTTCTTCTTCCCTTCTCAAACCCTTTAGTGTAAGTTCTTAACCCCTCACAGAAGGCAGTAAGTTCAAATTAAAGTATGGCCAAGTCTTCCCTTGACTAAGTGCAAGATATTGGGTCACTATGATGGGACAGCTCAGACCTGCAGGGATGACTATACTTAGGGCATGTGGGGTGCCTTAAGAGAGCAACGGAGTTCAAAAATGGGATGGCTCAAAAGAAGGAAGATGATCTCTTCATACAACTCTAGATAGACATCTGGAAGGTTCCTAGTAATACTGGACATGGCACACATTTTCCCATGTAGGTGGGAAAATCCTTGTCTACCTCTTCCCCACAAGCTCTTTCCTTATCCAGACAGCGTGACAGCTCTGCCTATTAAGTTGGTTGAACAGGGATGATAAATTGTAATCTTACTCTAGTATACAGTGTTTGAACTTCCTGCCCAAGACGAGGTAGGTATAAGGGGCTTCCTGACAGTGTGTAATTTTAATAGTAGAAAATGACTTTTTACCTTGGCTTGTTCTGTCTAGTGGGATGACCCTCTACTACCCTGAAAGTAGCAGCTAGGGTAGCTTCTGAGGTTCTATCATATTTTGGTCTTTCAGGGTTGCTGTCAGCACTGGATCTTGTTGAAGTCAATCCTCAATTGGCGGCTTCAGAGGAAGAGGCCAAGGCTACAGCTAGCCTGGCAGTGGATGTGATTGCTTCAAGTTTTGGTCAGACAAGAGAGGGAGGGCACATTGTCTATGACCAACTTCCTACTCCCAGTTCACCAGATGAATCAGAAAGGGAAGAACGTGTGAGAATTTAGGAAATTCTGTGTGCTGACATGTTTGTCACGAAAGACATTCCCGAATTATGAGGCATTTGAGGAGACAAATACTAAATGGTCATCTGGGTCAATACTGCCTTAATGAGAACATTTGCGCATTCTTACAACTGTAAAGTTTCCTTTCCCCCTCCATTTTGGTGACCAATAATACTACTGTAAGTTTGTTTTTTCTTTTTGCAGTTCACCGAGTATTAATATGTTGGAATACTACGTAAATATAAAGACGTCATAAACAGCATTTATTACGTTGGTATATCATACTGGTCTTGTTGCTATTCCTTCACAGTTATGCGGCTTTTTGTCTTCCCTCCCACCTCCCACGGTCTGGCTACACAGAGTATCCTCGAACCATTACCTCAGAGCAGCACTATGCTTATTCCCCATCTTTAACACCATTCATTCACAGGGTCAAAGTTCTGGTCCACAAACCCTTCCCTCTAGGAAGTTCAGTGCTTGTGAAAGAATTTGTAGTACACCAGGCCCCCTAGGATGGCCAGCTCCAGTATGATGACGATGGAAAGTAGCAGCTTGTTGGTTGTCACTCTACAGAGAGAAGCAAAGTAGGGAACAGTCAGAAGTGTGGATGACCTTATTTCTTTCTGTTCTTAATACTTAGGGGTTTGACAATGTAGCCAAGGCTGGATATACTGTGAGGCACACTGAATTGTTTTTTTTTTTTTTAAATCACATAGCCACTCAGCAGTTCTTTAGCTGGTAAATGCCAACTTGAAAGCTTTTTTCAGTTTAACTTAAGGGTAACACTACCTCACAGAAATACTGATGATTGGGATAACAGATGATAACAGATACCAACACATAAAAATGGTTTCTTCATTTTAAAATATGTTCAAATAGTAATTAATTCCTCACTTTAAAAACGGGTTTTCTAGGGGTCCCTGGCTGGCTCAGTTGGAAGAGCATGCAACTCTTGATCTCGGGGTCGTGAGTTCAAACCCCACACAGGCTCTAAAGATTACTTAAATTAAAAAATCTCAGGGGCGCCTGGGTGGCTCGGTGGGTTGAGCCGCTGCCTTCGGCTCAGGTCATGATCTCAGGTCTTGGGTTGGAGCCCCGCATCGGGCTTTCTGCTCGGCGGGGAGCCTGCTTCCTCCTCTCTCTCTGCCTGCCTCTCTGCCTACTTGTGATTTCTCTCTGTCAGGTAGATGAATAAAATCTTTAAAAAAAAAAAAAAATCAGCCTCTCTTTAAAAAAAAAAAAACTCACTTTTTCATATTTAATATATATTTTTATAAATAGCTCCTTCCAGAAAATTTTTTGTTTTTTTTTTTTAAAGTGGGCTTCACACCCAACATGGGGCCCGAACTCACAATCCCAAGATCAAGAGTTGCACACTCAACCAATGGAGTGAGTGCCCTGAAAAATATTTCTGAAATCAGGTTGAATCATATTTCAAAAAAGCAGAAATATAATACTATTAACTATTCTTCCTCCATCAACCCAAATGAACATCTTTATAAAGGTAGTATAAGAGCTTCAAAAATTTACTCTTTTGTTAACAAAGAATGTCATCTCTGGTTCTCATGTTAACTCTAAATTGAAGGTTTCCTTTTGTTTGACAAGGCATTTGCCATTGTTTAGGAAAATCTCATGGCTCAGTTATAGTTTTGTGTATACTAACTACCCACTTTAGGGTTTTTTTGTTTTTGTTTTTTAAAAGTTGACTTTTTGCTAACAGGGCAGAACTCCCTGATAAGGAAGAGGCTGACTACCATGAAGGACAAGCAGAGCCAAAAGCAAGTACTAAGCAGTAGCAGTAAAAAGTTTTTTTCTAACCAAGTTTATACAAATATACTTCAAGGAATATAAAGCTCCATGAGTCCCATGTGCTCTGAAAAATATAAGCTGGGATTAAAAGTGGACAAATTTCTCACTACTCAAGTCAGAGCAGCATATACTTTTTTATTTTTTAAAGGTTTTTTATTTGAGAGCACAAGTGGGGGAGGAGCAGAGGGAGAGGGTGAAGCAGACCCCCTGCTCAGCTCCATCCCATCCCTGGGGCTCCATCCCAGGACCCTGGGATCATGACCTGAGCCGAAGGCAGATGCTTAACCTAACTGACTGAGCCACCCAGGAGCCCCAGAGCAGCATATACTTTTAACAAAGAATTTTGCCCTGGGGTATTTAATTAGAAAAGATAATACTTTATCAGAACCTTTGCAAGTCACTGTTTGTCTTAGTCACAAAATTTCTCTTAACTCTGTTTTTTTTCAAATCTTTTTTTTTAAAGATTTTATTGATTTATTTGACAGACAGAGATCACGAGTAGGCAGAGAGACAGGCAGAGACAGAGAGAGGGAGGAGGCAGGCTCCCTGCTGAGCAGAGAGCCCCATGTGGGGCTCGATCCCAGAACCCTGGGATCATGACCTGAGCCAAAGGCAGAGGCTTTACCCCACTGCGCCACCCAGGCGCCCCTCTTAACTCTATTTTTAAAATTACTTTCTGGGGGCGCCTGGGTGGCTCAGTCATTAAGCATCTGCCTTCAGCTCAGGTCATGATCCTAGGGTCCTGGGTTCGAGCCCCACATCGGGCTCTCTGCTCAGCAGGGAGCCTGCTTCCCCGCTCTCCCACTCCCCCTGCTTGTGTTCTTTCTCTTGCTGTTTTGTGTTCCCTCTCTCACTGTCATGTTCCCTCTCTGTCAAATAAAATCTTTAAAAAAAGAAAACAAACTTACTTTCTGGACATTGAACGGAGAATCTTTCGACTTTTGCTCAAGTTTTCACTTGTGTTTACCAGCTGGGAAGAGAAAATAGCAATTATTTCCCCCTTCTAAAGTATATACTGTAGAAGTTGAAGGTTCCTAAACTGACCATGGGCATTAAAGGGTGTGTGCTGAAAAATTCCATCAAACCAATTTGAATGATGGCCTCTGAATATATATGTAGAAAAACCGGAAAGGACAAGATACTCGAGTACTCAATGAGTAGGCTTAGGAATTATTATATCTCAAGGTTACTGTGGAGAACTCCTGGGACCAAACTGATTCTTCACCTTGGCTACTCAAAACGGAAAAAGACTTCAAGTGTACCTCCGTCGATAACTGTGAGGAAACTTCAGATTTGAATTTCATCAGCCAAACTCCAGGGGAGCTTCTTGAGGTTTTGTTTTTGTAGGCTGGTGGATTTCCACTTTTGGGATCTGGTTCTTTTTTCTTTAGCCCTTTTACAGATACACTGAATTGTGAAAGGGATCATTCTTTTAAAAGCTTTTTAAAAAATTACTTTCTTTTGGTTGCCTGTTAATATCTAGATTGCTGGGGGACATTTCAACAGATGCCATCTGCCATCTGTTCCATTCCCCAGTGGCCATAAGTAAGCTGATCGCTCAGCTTGCTCCTTGGCTTTTAAATTCAACCAATCCATCTGATGTGTTAAAACCACCTAGTCGGTAAACAAGTTGCCTTCTCTACAGTATACCTTGAATTCAGTGGTTGTGAATTTTTACTGAGGAGGCAAAGGCATCATTCTGATTTAAGAATGGACAACTGCAACTCTTAGGATATATGAGGAAATCTTCTCCAATCCCCACATGGAGGAAGTCATCCAAGTCTTGCCAATAGTATCTGTTCTTCAATTTGTATTGGCCTCATAATGTTAAGAATATAACATTCTATTGGCAAGTTGTACTATTTTTAAAATTCCTATGCAGGTGTATGGAAAGGGAGGAAGGAGATGTTTTTCAGAGGCCTTGATATAGTTATTTCCCGTTTTTTCCCACAGCAATCTAGCTTACCTTGGGTAACAACAGAGTTATAGTCCAGGACTGAACCTCTAAACTGTCAGCAGTACTATTTTATGACATGTGGAAAATAGCCTTGGATCTAAAGGACAAAAAAACTAGGATTGTTTAAGTGGATGGTGCTTTCATAAGAACAGCATAATATCCTACTATAGATAGATTAATATGAGAAAAATCTCAGGTTGGTAATCTAGGAATTGAAGGACAGAGTGGCTACAATCTTAGAGTTGACAATCTTCCATAAATGCAGAAACTGGGTTTCTTCAGTCTTTTTTTTGGCCTCCAGTGACCTCTAAATCCAAGGGGTAAAATTATTTTCAAGATAAATCTCTCAGTTGAGAAAAGTGTAACCATCTAAGAGGTCCTAACCCTGAATTCTGAACTGCTGTAGCTTCTGACAGTGGCAAGGCATCAGGATATAAAGGGCCCACCTACTTTCCCCTATCTGCTCAGACTTACCCTATTCTTAGTACGTTCCAACTGTTCACGTTGTTCCCCCAGCTCTTCTATGATTTCTGAGCCAATCTGGTCAGTCTCTGTGGCAATCCGATGAGAACGCTCAATGCTCTGTGTGGCCCGGTTCAGGCTGTCTGTGCCTTGTAGAAGCAATGCCCTTTGAGACTGTAACCGGTTCTGACAGGAACCAGAAAGGAAGAGAAATGTTAAATTCATTTATCAGCACATTCCTTGTGACCCTTCTGATGTAAGAAGGGATATAGTACATGTAGTGATTTTCATTACTTTTAAGACTTTAAAGATGCTAACTATAAGATTATTAGAATCCAATACAAGATCACATACCTCCCATGCCACTGCTTGTTATACTTAAATGTGAGGGAAGAAAAGAATTAAAAACATCAGAGCACTTTCCCTGATTTGGTGATGAATTTGAACTGACTTGTGGACTAACAACAACTGAGAGGCAGTGGCCCAAGTTTGGGGTGCAGGAGCTATCCAAATATGCATACAACCTGTAACTGTTGACAGGGCAACAAACCAACCAACTTAACTCCACAGCCTAGAACTAGATTAATTCACTGAAGATTTCCACCTGACCAGTACTGAGGATTGAGTGACCATGAATAAGCTATTCATTTGCAGCACAGAATTCACTTAGAAGTCTGAAACACTATCGTATTTTGGAAGACACTTAAGCGATTACAGTCTTGGAAACCCAAAAAGAATTTCACCTCAGACCAAACAAAACAAAACTCTGAAGTTGCCACAATGGTGACTGCTCTCAGGGACGGAGGATCTGGGTCCAAATAAGCTGCCCTCATTTCCCAAGTGCCCTAATTTTCTAAATCCCTGCCAAAGTTTTACTTCACCTATAATCCCAAGCATAGAAGGCAAGATGACAGAAGTAGCCCTTGTCAGTCAGAATTAACCATTGACAAATGGGTAAGTTCTTCACTATTCAAAGCACTTACACATTCACAAAGGGGTTGGTTCACAGGGCCTATTACTAAACAGGTGACTCCTCGCACTAGATACCACATCA